GAGTTCATGAAAAGGAGCCACTTTTAGACAATGCATTGTGTCCCCCACCCCTTCCTATTATGTTAATCTTACTTTCCTCCCATATATGAAAAAAAGACTCCATTTCCAGGATAGATAGATAGTATTGGGATATTAGGTAAAAGCCGGTATTTTTCTGGCTCTGTTCCTTGTTCTCTCTGAGCGAATTCCAGTCCCTTGGGTAGTTTTCTAGGTTCCCTCACAGAATGTGGCCCATGGACTTGCTTTCTTCACAGTTTTCTCTTGAAGTTCATCTGGGTATGTGGGGTTTCCCTCTTGCATCAATACCCAAAGAGTGTTGGTGCGGGAGGGGCCACCATGATGACTAGCCCTGCGGGAGGAGTGCTGCCAGCCGGTGATGCTTGGCATCAAACTTACGCCACACTGTTCTGCCTGTTTGGGATCCCTTGACAGTATCTCAGCCCCGGCATCATTTCTTATCAGTGCAGGGACTGCAGGAGCCAGCACCAATGACCTTTAGACATGGAAGCATCTCCTGGAGTAAGGGATCTCTTAGTGTATTCGGTTGTTACAGGGTCTCACTATGCAGCTTGGTCTCATAGTGATGCTCCTGCTTTCAGTCTCCCCACTGCTGGGATTACAGGTGTACATCATTACACCCAGACTCTGGCCAGCTCAGCCCGCCTTGGAGGTGAGGCTGGTATGGCATGTGTTGCCAGGGATTGAACCATGGTCTTTGTGCTTGCCTAAGCAGGTGCTTTAGTCTGCTGTGCTATCTCACTGGTCCTCACCATTTTTAAAAAAAATCACAGTTTCTAAAAATGTTAATGAAAGAGGACTTCCAAAACTACTTCAGAAAGAGGCATGAGAAGAGCATTAAGTGTGTTAGAAGGGAGGGGAAGTATCTTGAAGACAATTCATGGCAATTTGTTTTTTATTCTAGTACTTTTAAAAAATTTGAATATTCACTATATGTTTTGTATATTTGATCATGTCTTGTACTTCTCTCCCACAAATGCAAAATGATTCAACTTTCCAGGTGATTAGTATTTATATATATTTTTAGGCTCTTTATATTCCTGTAATATGGTAATATTGGTGAAAATTTGCTGGCCTTGCGATGCAGTTGAGATTAAAGGTTAGAATGATCTCCTTCCTTCTCTTTTGCTCTCCTTCTCCATTCTCTGCTCAGACAGCCTGCACCTGCAGTTGTTCTCCATGTAGAGGGGAACCTTGCAGGTTAGCTCAGTTGTTGGCTGTGACTGGGCAAACCCAGTCAGGTGCAGGGGACTACAATTCAATCCCCAGCTCCCCATGCCTTACCAGCCCCACACTTAAGGCAGTCCAATCCAGAAAAAAAAAAAAATCCTTCTCAACTGGCTGGGAAGATAGCTCAGGGGCATAAGTATGTGCCTGGCAAGTGCAAGGTTCCGAGTTCAATCCCCAATACCACAAAAACAACCACAAAAAGTACACGCAGCAGGAGATGGAGATGCGAAGGGGGACCTTTTGCCATCTGTGTCCAAGACATGCTCTCCCAGCAACATCTCGGGTGGCTGGTGTTTTGTTCTGGCTGGTCATGTCTATGCTGTCTGATTGAAAACCTCAAATGCAGGATGATTGATCCCAGCTTTTAGCATATCACTTTTCAGCATTTCTTTTTGGTGTCAGATTTATCGTTGGGCTATATCTTCCTGGAGATATGCAGAGCATTCCTGGCCTGTACTTACTCAGTAGCACTCCCTTCCCTTTCCAGTTGTAAAACCCTAAAATATTCCAAGCACTTAAAATGTCTTCTGGGGAACCAAATTGCCCTGGACTGAGAGCAATTTCTAGTGAAAAGTGGGCAACATGGAGCAGAAGAGGAATGTCACAGTCCTTCTGGCAGGGCCAGGCTAGATTTCCCAAGGGAAATAACATTTGAGCTGAATTTTGTAGGGTAAGAGCTACCCAATGGTTGTAGGATGACTTTTAAGCTATATTACAGAGATAGTTATGTTTCTCTGTGATCCCTTCTTTGTCTCAAGACAGATTTCCTACCACCCTACTCAATCTTTTTCTAGGAATTACTTCTGTGAGCCAGCTGGCTCTTCCCTACCTTAATGACTTGGCTTATTCGTATGTTGAATGGATTCCATCTCTGTATATTACGTATTTTCACTTTACTGGTTAAACTTAACTGTACATTATCTTTATAAAAGGAATGTATTTCCAAAGCCAGTTCCTGTAGAAGTGAGTTATTCTCTGAAGAATTTTCTATACTTTGAATAGGTTATGCTATGAACTATATGTCTGAATATGTAGGATTTAGTACTGGGGTGATTTTAGACAGAATTTCTGATTATATTAGGAGGATGGTGTCAGTTGCATATTCATGAGGAGACTAAGCTCTCCTTCATGTTGGATATGACTCATCTGGTAACACACTTGGCTAGGGACAGGGAGGCAAAGAATAGGGAAGGAGTGTGGGGAAAACATATTGATGGCAGCTTCCCATAGATTGCATTAGTTGGTGGTAATGCCTTCATTGAAGGCATAAATGAACCACATGGAAACATCAATGAGTTGGCCATTTATTGGTGTCATAAGAAGAGAGGCTGCTATTACAGATTGGCTTCAAGGAAACTGGGGCAGAAGGGCTGGTGAAGTAACAGAGAGACAGGCAGTAGGTTGGGCCATGCGTGTCACACAACCACCTAGGAGGACGATGACAGGTAGAAATGTGTTTTCCCCACCATGATATTTTTAGTGGCAGAACTTAACATAATAATACTTCAAGTAGCAACATAAACAGTAAGAATAGCATTAAGTATGTTGGCTAAACCGTACCACAAGGAAGATCATGCCACATGGTGTCTCCCTGGAGAGTGAATCAGGGTGCTGTCCCAGAGCTTTACCTAAAGGTCAGAAAGGAAAAAGCCAAACTCTGTGTTCTTTGGAGTAGCAATGTATAATTTTTAGAGTTGAGAAGATTTTACTCAATTAAATGGGCAATTATGGTCTGCAACCGCATAATCTCTGTCTCAGATGATTGATAAAGGTTGTTTACCGCACTCATGGGGTCTCTGAAAACATCACGGGGGGGGGGCAGGGCTGCATCAGGAGACTGGATGGAACCATGCTCACGTTTAAGAAAACCCAACACGAAACAAAGCACTCCTACACGTGGAAGCAATTCTTTGTACCAGAAAATGATTTTCTAATTTAAAAAAGTATTCACTATTAAGTTTCTTAGAATATTATTTTGTCACAGTCTATATTTTTTTTGCAATTATGTTTTAATGTTCAAGAATTAATCTAACCCACTGCTTCGCAGCTTATGTGCCGCTGAAGGGAACACAACCCATTGTTTCTTAGGAAAGCGCTCATTCTACTGCTATGGAAGGTAATGTAAACCAAACTGGGCCTCAGAGCCTTGACATATTTGAGCACCAGGCTCTCTGCACCCTCTGTGGCTCATGACAGATGCGTGGCCAGTGTCTCCTGCTGTATTCCTCATTTGCCTCTGCAAGGTGGGAAGAAGGAGGAGCTGGATGAAGTACCCCAACAATTTTTCTTCAAAAACATCAAAGAAATGAAGACATTGCCGAGGTTCTTGCCTTCCTCCAGTATTGCAAGCAGCAGCATTTGCAGAAGCTCTGACGATCCATCGCTAAGTGGTTTATGGGAAACTCCTCTAGCAAGCACCAGTGAGGAGTGCCCACATGAAGGTCTCACAGCACAACTACAGTACAGGAGGTGAATGTCCACAATGTATGATCGGGCCCTTGAGAAACTTGAGAGAGACCTAGCGCAGGACATTTGGCCAGATCCTTTCTATTGTTTGCCATCTCTACCACTCTAGTCATAGATGGCATGCTCATTCTGCGTACTGGGGAATCTGGCCTAGTTTAGTTTGTTGACATCTGTAGGAATCCAGGCTTGATCCTGAGTTTTCCATGCCCAGTTATTCGCAGGTCTCTAATGACATGTGTCTCGTCCTACGGTGGTATAGTGCCAGGTTACATCAATCTGGGTTACTAAATTAATCCCTCTTGAAGCCTACACCCTTCAGAAGCAGGTTTTGCAAACTGCTTCATTAAAAAGAATGAGATTCCCCTCAACTCATGCCACTACCCATTTAACTGTGCTTTCTCTAAAACCATTATTTCACTTGAGATTTTCATTGACCAGCAATGTTTATATTGAAAGATAAAGAATACAAGAATGCATTGGAAACAAAATCTTTGGCTTAGGCTAGCCTTTTTATTTTCCTCTTCTTTTTTGTATAACTTGAATTTCATCTCAAGCCCAGTGTTTTTATTTTCCACAAGAATTTATTAGAGTAATATGTGGTAATGGCTTGAAAAAAAATAAAAAAGCCTATAATAATAATGCTATTCATGGTATCAAAGCAACAGCATTGCCCAGCACTGCCATTCCACATTTAGCAGGAGGCATCTATGTGGAGCTTCACATACACTTATCTCTACATGCCGCTAATACTGTATGTCTATATCAATTCTGCCACTGCCTGGGTACTAGCACCATTTGTCAATAGCACCATTCTGCTGATTGGACAGATAACTACAAGAGAGCTAGAACGCTCTGCTCCAGGCTGAAGATGAAGTGTGTCCCTGCCTGAGTCTGAGAATATGTGGTCCAGCACAGGACGGACATCCCTGCCGCCCACCCCTGTCAAGAACTGGTTCTGAGGTCTTCCCCCGGGACTTATACCCCTTCTCCCACCACTCTGTTTCACTGTGTGCAGTTGATATGAGGACTTCCCTTAGAAATCAGTTTGTCTGAAAATTTACTTCAAATTTGAGACCATGGTCTACTTTCATTGCTTTTGGATCTACGAATGTCCAAGATTGGCATTCTAAATTTCTAAGTTAAGTGTTTTATGTTGTTCAAACTTGCCAATTTTCCCAAGGTAAATGACCTATAATTTTAATTCTCTCTCTCTCTCTCTCTCTCTCTCTCTCTCTCTCTCTCTCTCTGAGAGAGAATATATATATATATATATATATATATATATATATATATACTTAACTCAGAGCTTCGCACAAGGCAGTCATGCACTATACTACAGAGGCACATCCCCCGCACTAAAAGGGTTTTAAATGTAACTAATGGGTATATAGAGGAGTAGATAATTTTTTACATCACTATTTTTGTGTTTTGGAGACAGGGTGTTACTTTCTAGTCCAGGCTAGCCTTGAACTTGGAGTCCTCCTGTCTTAGCCTCCTGAACGCTATGATGACGGCCACGCACCACCTTGGCTGACTTTTTAATCCCACTTTTTAGAGTACCTTTTTCCCTCTGTCTCTCTCTTTAAGCTATCAGTCTTATGAAGTTCTTGTACTTGGTACAATTTACCTGGTTTTTAAAAGAGTTTCTAACTGGCAGGAGGTGAGGGCAGGTGGCAGCCGTAGCCCGGTTGACAGCCGCCCCTGTGTACAAGCTGCCTGCTACAAGAGGATGGCAGGAGCTGGGTTCAGGAGACGCAGGCAGGGCTGTGTGTGTGTGTGTGTGTGTGTGTGTGTGTGTGTGTGTGTGTGTGTAAAGGGAAATTTATTTTTCTTGAAGGAATAAATCTGTGCCAGGAAAATGAAAAAGACAAAGATCTGCACTTCTTTTGGGTTGTTAGCTAGAAATTGATCTCCATTCACCTGCTAATTAAGACATTTGGAATTGTCCTTTGGAGTTTTGGAAAATGTTTTCTGCGTAACTAGCCTGCATGCCTTAGGCTCCAGCTAACGCTTGCATCCTCTTTGTCCAGATCAGTGGTGGCGAACCCTTGGCACTGGTGTTTTACTTTTAAGACAAAAGACACGAATGTTTGAGCTGTTTTTCCTAAACTAAAACTTCAGTACTCAGATTTATTTGCAGTATTGGCACTTTGGGATCAGTAACTGGGCTTTGGCTGTACTTTTGGCATGTGTCTCTGATTCACTAAGCCTGGTCTAAGGGTGCCGGGCTACAAGCCTGGTCATGCATACAGAATTTCATACAAACTAAGGCCCCGTGGAGTCCTGCAGGAATCTGGGAGGAGACTGAAAGATTTAATCAGCACCTGCTCTTCCTGTCCTCAGGGAAAAGGGGTAAAGAAAGCTGTCCTCTGCCCAGATGAATTTAATGAATGTTTCTCAAACTCTCCCATGGCATTTTAAACAGCAGCTGCCCCAGGCAGGTGGGAAATAAATGCATTATTAAGGTAAATTAAAAAGATTATTTGTTCCCTGGGTAATTAAGGCTCTGTTTCCTGAAACTCTTGAGGTAGTCCGGGAAAAGTCTGATCTCTTGGCTTTCATCCGTAAGGAGGACAGAAGGCATCCTTTCACAGACCTGCCTAACCTGGCACCTTTCCCGGGAGCTCAGCACCGCCGATAGGGAACTCTTCAGAACATTTGCCCTTCTTATCAGGGAGCAGCAAGGATAATAGTCCCAGGCCTGCCGTGAGGGACACTTTGTGACTAGAGGAACACAGTGCAGTTGGTTTAGGCCTGAAATGTGTAAAGCAAACTTTTGTGGATCGGCCTGCAGGGCTAAAGCATCCTGGTCAGCAGCTCTGCAGCAGGTGATGGGGGTGGCTTCCTCCCGGACTCACAGTGGCTTGGGCTTCTTGAGCAGCTGCTGCCTTCTTAGCCTTTGGGCGAGGACTGTGTGTGTCTGCGGACACGTAAAACAACACTGCGCCCTCACAGTGGGCATGGAACATCTCTTCATGGTCTTTAGGGTCTGGCAGAAGCTGGCTGATAGTCTGTCCTTGGCACAGAGTATGTCTGTGGGAGGAGAAAAGATAATCCAGGGATTATTCTTTGTGGGGGAATGGACACATCTACTACTAGAAAACTTCACATGCCTGCCAAGAAAGAATCTATGGAGCTTATTAATGATAGAAATTCAATGAACAGGGTCAGCGATATAGCTCAGCAGACTAAGCGCCTGCTTAGGCAAGCAAAGGGACCTGGATTCAATCCCTGGCACCACATGCTGAGAGATAGTGCATGTTCAGACCAAGCAATCCTACTGTGACTGTCCCTTTGAGGCCTTTGTCTCCCAGATCTCCACTCAGCAGTGGGCATTTTCCATAGGGCCCAGCATGTGCATTGTTGGCTGCTGTTGAGAACCTGGGAAGACTCTGACTTTAGAACTGGGCCAGCACAGAAACTCAGGTGTCAGAGGGCTGCCCTTCTCTCTTGGCCAGCATTTCCTGAAGCCCTTGTGTTTGGTGGATGCAGAAGGTATAGGTGGGGCAGCTCTTTGCTCCAGAGTCTCCCTATCATGATGTGGGGGCTGCTGCGAGGAAAGAGGAGGAGAAGCCCTGCCAAGGCCCAGCTTGTGTCTCAGCTCTCCAGAAAGCCTCTTTTGGGCACCATGGCTCACGTGATTCTTTTCCTCCATCTCCAGCTGTGTACCATATTACCACTTGCTAAAACTTGCCACCTCTTCTCCTCTCACTCCCTCTCTCCTCCCTTCCTCTCCCCCCAGTGTCTTTTCTCCCTGCTCCCCCTGCCCCTCTCTCTCCCCATTTCTCTTCCTAACCCTCTTCTTCTCCTTGTTTTTCTTTTTAGTAGTCCTGGGAATTGAGCTCAGGCCCTTTCACATGCTAGGCAAGTTTTCTACCGCTGAACTACATTTCCGGACCTTTTCAAAAGCCTCCTGAACAGCTGGGATTACAGGTGTGTGCTGCTGAGCTCTACTGCACACTCTTTCTGAACTGATACATCAGTGGTATGTAAGCTTTGGTCCTTGCTAAGGACCAAAGTATGATCTCTGGGGGTGGTGGTGGGATTCTGTTATTGCAAGTAAGTCTCCAAAGTTTTTAAGCCTGTTGTGGGTTGAATTATGTTCTTTGAATTTTAAATATTCTCCACTGTTGCAGCTCTTAGCACTTTGTGAATGTGATTTGACTTGGAAATATGGTCTGAGCAGGTGTAATTATTATGTAAATGAAGATGAGGTGATTTGGAGTTGGGTGGGTCCTTAATCCACCGGGATTGGTGCTGTCCTTGTAAGATAAGAGAAACACACACACACAAAGAGGGCCAAGAAAAATTAAGGATTGCTGGCAAATACCAGAGCTAGGAGAATGGATGGTTTGGATCTAAAATTTTCTGCAAAGTCTCACGTGCTCAGAGGAGGGACTTTTTGAAAGTGATTGGATCATGAGAGCTCTAGCTATCAGGACTAACTCACTGATAAATCCAGAACTTGGCAGCTGATGGAACTGAGGAGGTGGGGCCTCGTTGAAGGGAATGTGGGTCATGGGGGTTTGCCCTTCACCGCTGCACCTGGTCTTGGGCTCCTTTGTTCTTCTCTGCTCAGTCTCTCTCTTTTACTTGCTTACTGGATGCTATGGGATAGCAGCTTTCCTTTGTCAAAGCTTTGTGCCATGACCCTCCTGCCTCACCATGGTCCTAACAGTAATGGAGCCAGCTGACCATGGACTCTGTAACAGTGAGCCCAAAATTAACCTTCTCTTTCCTTAAGTTCATTTTCAAGTATTTTGTGACTGCAACAGGAACATGACTAATATAGAGAGAAAGTCTGAACCTGAGGACACTTTGATTTTAGATCTCTAGTCTTTAAAACTGTGATAGAGTACATTTCTGTTGTTTTCAACCATCTCCCCTTTTATGGTCATCTGTTACAGTAATCCTAAGAAAATTAGTGCACTTCCTCTCCCATGACACGCAATATATCATCACCACCACCACCACCACAACAACAACAACAACAATATAGTTCATTAAGCATTTATCATGCACTTGATATATTACTATTATTATTATTATTATTATTATTATTATTATTTGATATTATATTTGGTACAGGGTCTTACTATGCAGCTCAGACTCCCAGTGATCCTCCTGTTTTCAGCCTCTCCAGTGCTGGAATTATAGGCGTGCACCACCATGCCCAGACTTAGCTGACTCAGTATGCCTGGGGCAGGGCAAGCATGGCCTGGGATCCTGGGGATTGAACCCCGGTGCCTCTGCTCATGCACTTGATAGATACAATATCATTTGGTCTTTAGGGAAATTTACTTGAAGATCTGTTTCTTTTCCTTTTAAAAATTGGGGTTACCAGGAAGTCTCAGCACTTGGTTCTGTATCACACAGCTAGTAAAGAGGTGGTGCTGATGGCATTTTACACTCTCAGTGCCACTAAAGCTCTGTCCCCAGGAGATGGCATTGGAGACAGGAGAGAGAATCACAAGTACAAGTCCTTCTTGCCCAGAACAGCTCATGGTTCAATACAGGAAACCCTCACTAGCATACCTAAATGACTCCAAGAGTCTTGACCATGCTGGTAGCATGCCTGGTCTTGGGATCCATGTGTTTCAATGTCTTCTGAATCCAGGGAGCATGCTGGAGCTTGGTATACTGCTGTTGGAGAGCCAGGAACCAGAAGGGAGCATGGTGGACAGTGGTGGCCTACATTGGTATTTAGTGTTCCAGGTCTATATTTAGCAGCTCATTTAGATAATGACTGTGAACTCAACATCACGGTAGAACTTAATTAGACCAGTCCTCCTTACTATTGTAAAACAATGGAGGTTTGTTGTGTTCATCAGCCAATTGGATCCCAGCCCTGAACTGTACACAATGTTCATAATTAGGGGCAACTTGGAAAGGAGATCCTCATTCCCCTCTGCTTATTCAAAAGAAACCATACTTGTAAATTTACAGGGACAGTTTAGCCTGTTTTCTTGTTGTCAGCTGTGTCTGGATTGAGAGGGTATTTTGCTCATGAAAAACAGTTGAAAAATACTTTCATTGTTGTCAACAAGTGCAGTTTCTATAATATTTAGAGCTGCTTGAGACCAGGAACTATATCTTACTCATAGCATCATCAGCTTTTAGCATTCACCCCCAAGACATATCCTGTGGTCAATAATGTTTGCAGATTAAAAGAATAAGTAAAATCCTATTAATATAGAATATCTCTTAGTAGAAGATTTTGTACACCACATGTTCCTTTGCGTCAATACTGCATCTGAGTACTGTTTGTATCCTTTTTCTGTTTTCGAGACAGGGTCTTGTTACATGGTTCAAGGCCATCTTGAACTTGGAATCCTTCTGTCTTAGCCTCCCAAATGTTAGGATTTCCAGCTTGTCTCTACTCTTTCCCTTTCATACTTCTCACTTCCTGAATAAGAAAACAAGAATGAAACTAACCACAAAACCCTGGAATGGCTTTCTCTTGCTTTGCTTTCTACCCAGATAACATGGAAAGCATTTTATAAACCTCAATATGGAAAAGGTAGTTCTGATTTAGATTTTAAGTTATTAATAATTCGGGTGGTATTTAAAATATAAAATGGCTTGTAGGGAAATGAGCCTCAGACAAATTATACTTAATCTTATGTGGTAGATATAGGACTATGTTTATTATGATGACTGGCTGACAAGAATCTAGGGCTTGAATACTGTTTTTTCACAGTATTTTAGGGGATGGAGGTCACGGTAAGTACTTGGCTTCTTAAATCAAATAATTTCTTGTAACTATTCTTTCATGTTGCTTCTATGTGAGTAAGCCCAGTTCTCCCTATAGGAGAAGCTAGCAATTAACTTTTGTTGTTCTGGTAATTGTTGGTGAGTGGGGTTCATTGCTATTTATATTAATGGTGAGCTAGCTGTTAGTCACTATTCAGTATAAGATTTCAAGATGAAAAACACCATACATGCATTTAACCCAGTTTTGATTATTGAAGACTGCATTGCACAGCAATGACAATTAACGACAACTTGTACACAATTAAAAATAACATCAATAATCCACAGCAATAGAAATGATCAAAAAAGGCTAGGTGACTGGTTTAATTATATAAAGGAACAATACAGAAGGAATTGCAAAGCCTCATCATTTAAAATACATGGCTTCATGAGATGAAATGAAAGGAAAGGGGCCATTTGAGGCCCTTGGTCTACAACACAGCGGTTCTCTAACTTTAGCTGGTATTGGACCCACCAGGGGATCTCAGATGGATATAGATTCTCATTTAGTAGCTCTGAGATCTGGCATTTCTAAAAAAATCCTAGGACTTGCCAATCCATGGGGTTTTGAGTAGCAAGAGTTTGGAGACTAAATATCCACAGCACTTCTAAAAATTAGTCTTAGATGGTTTCTTCTGGTATATGAAATAAAGACATGAAAGTGACCCTCACATGCAATGGGTGATCAGAAAGAAGTTACCTGTGATACCCAAATCTGAAGCATTTCCCTCCTGATGCATTTCAGTCAAAATTTCCAGCCATGTTCTTTCTTGGCCTGTCAAACTGTACAGCAGACCAAGTCCTGGACACGCCCACCTACACTATTTTCACAGGCCCCTCCGCAAGCATGGTACTAGTTACTTCCTCTCATCTTCAAACCAAAACTGAGCTTTTTCTCAGTGCATGGCAGCCACATGTTTGCAGCAGCCCATGTCAGAAATGCGGGCATTGCCTTTCTTCTCCTTTCGCCTGGCACAAAGACCTATTAAGTAGCCTCTGAGTCTACCAACCTCTTTACCCTCTAACTATGGCTCACCTCCAATGCTATCAGTTTTTAACTTCTCTCAGGCTCATACTTGAGTTAGATTTATACGCCATGCCACCATCTTGTCACTTTCCTGGCTATCCTGGAAGCTGAATACTCCGTCCTGGAACCTTCTACACAACCTTTGTGCTCCTCCTTTGAGTCCTTGTTCACCCAGTTTTGGCTCAATGTCCTCCCCAAGTGCTTTCATGCCCTATCCCTTTCTTCTCTTCTCGTAGGGCATATCACCAATTTGTGCTTTTTTTTTCTTTGAAATTGCATTTAGAATGTAGTAAGGGCTTAACAATTATTTGGTGAATAAATGCATAATTTAGAAATAAACAATCGCTTCTTAGGATTAACTCTAGGAGCAGTCTCTGGTGGATGTCTTAGAACTTGGAAGGAGGCAAGCACATATTTTATGAAGTTCTCATCTTTAATACACCCGTGTGTGTGTGTGTGTGTGTGTGTGTGTGTGTGTGTGTGTGTTTGACAGTAATAGGGACTGAACTCAGGTAAATCACACTGAGTTATATACCACTTAAGACAGGCTCTTGCTAAGTTCCTAATGACCCAGGCTGGGGTTGAATTTGTGATCCTCCCACCCGTCTCCCAGAGTGCTGAGATTACAGGTATGCATCAATCACGATGCCCAGCTTGCTTTAAGGCATTGGGAAATGGATTACTGCTGTGTTCTTCTGACATGCCACTTTTACAGAAGCAGCATAGCCCTTACTTGATGTCTCACAGTTGGTTCTTTAATTAGGAGCATGCCATACTCTAAACCCCAGTGACTTGACTATGTTTATGCAGGACATTCTACATTTTGTGAGCAATATAAGTAAGCTACAAGAATTAACTTCTATTCTTGCCTGAGAATTTTCTTCCTAGGTTTTAAATTTAATTAGAAATCTTAAAGATTAATGGAATGAAAGATATCACTGGAATGAACTTTAGAGTTCATGGTCAACTTACTCTTTGATAGATAAAGAAATTGAAGTCTATTGAGATGAAATAACTTGCTTACGGGATGTAGCTGATGAAGAACTTATCCGTTTTAAAGTGCACTCATACATATTATTTAAAATATTCACAGCTCTGTAAAGCTTATGTTATTTCCTTTATACTCAAAAGGTAATTGAGTGTCAGAAAGCTAAACAACTTGACAAAGTCACATAGATAGAGAGTGGGTGCTCTGGGATGCAGATTTATTGCTGCTTTCTCCAAAACTGGATTCTTTCCATCTCTGAGGAAGTATGACCCATGAAGGCCTTATGGACAACGAGGGAAACATTCTAGCAATGAGCAGTGTCTGCAGCTCTAATTAAGGTAGTTTGAAAGCTAACTGTAGCAGGCAACACTGCCTTTTCATTGCTTAGCTCTTTGGATTTCTTTTGTTTATTTTCAGGTGCCTCTCCTTCACCCAGCTAACTCCCAGCTTCCTGGTTAGCATCTAAAACCCAGACAGCCTGGAAGGACAGCCCACAACCTATGGAAGTTTCTTTATCTCTCTAATGAAGTTTAAATGTCTGCAAATTCACTGCCCCTGGGGTAGCCCTCTGCCAACCCCTGAAGAGTATGAGTGTGCAAGTCCAGCTCACTGATGGGAAGCAGACAAGTTTTAAGTGTAGCACACACACTCGAGTTTCTTTGCAGATTGGGCTGGAGCTGAGGCTTCAGGTGGCTGAAGTGATGCCCTGCTTGTGCTTCCTCCCTCTTTTGTCTTGCTTCTCTTCTCCCTTGAGGGTTTTCTGTGGGAATATGTCTTTAATGAATCTCTTGTGCACGTTCATCTACTGCTGTTTCTGCTGAACCCGACCTGAGAAAATGGAGCTAGATTTATTGGGGAAGACCACTCCACAATTGGTTAGGTTCCTGGCAAGGGCTGGAATATCTCTCGAAGATCTATGTAAGACAGAAGCAATTCTCATCAGTGGGGGATGACATCAGTATAAACATTCTCTGAGACAGGAAAATAGAAGAGATAATTCCTCAAGGTATTAGAGACAAACCTCACCAAATCAGAAAGCTTATGCTAAGTTGCTGGCTAGCCTCTTCAGCATAAAGATTTTCTGCTAAGCAAAGGGCTCATAAACTATCCACAAGTTGAGTCATGCAGAGTGACTTATTTGTGCAAAGCTTAGGCACCCCCGCCAACCCCAGCAACCCATTCACCCACCAGCACTCTTTTTGCAGGCTTGTTGGTTGCAGTTTTGGAATTCTGGAGGTCTTGGTTCATGATCACACAGGCAGTGACCTTGCTTTTCAGTTGTGTTGTTCTCTGAGGGGACACAATGGACAGTCCTCTTCTGAAGTCCACCTCCACAGGTCATGGTGCACTGAAAGAGAGATACACAGAGAGCTGGAGTTCTCACCCAGGATCTCCAGCATAACATCAGCCGAGAATATCCCATCATAGTTAATCATGGGAACGTCTACACAACTGAGAACCTTTCTTAAGAAATGATGGAATTGATAAAGGCAATAATTTAGAGATGTAAATGTAAGGAAGATTCCTAAGCTATATTATAGATTGTTGAGTTGAATTAACGTGGATTACTACTGGGTTCTCTTTCCCACATTGGGAATGGCCAGTTGTCCCCACCACAGGGCTACATAATTGGGATCTAAGCACCCATGACAGCACCATGGGGCACTACTCACCTCAGGCCCATGTGAATATTCTAGGAGATGGTCCCTAGATAGAGCAGGACCAGTCACTTTGTTGGGAATTTGGAGTAAAAATGCAGCAAGAAATTCCATGAGGGTAAACTATGTAAGTGTAAGTATAGTTAGTAGTCACATTTCCTGATAATTAGGAGAGAAAAAAAAAACAAAAAACAAAAACAGATGGCAGAAAATATGAGTGGAGTGATGCATATGATTAGAGAGGGACAGGATGAGAGATGGAGCACTTGTAGGCATACATGATCAGCTCTGGCTAAAACTCCCAACCCAAACATTCATCTTTGCATTATTATAAATATATGGAGGACAACATATGAAGAAGGTTGAAATGCAAGCAAAAATATTGACGCTCTCCAATTTCTCGGAACTGGTTTTGATTTGGGGATGGTGATCAGATGTGGATAAAACAAATGGAGCTTCTAGGAAAGCTGTAAATAAGATCGGCAAAAGAAATGGGAGAGAAAGACTACAGTGGAATGAAGAAATAATTTGGGATGGAGATGGGAACAGAGGTGCATAGAAGATCAGGAAAGGAGCAGGCAGCAGAGGTCTTTGGGATTGAGGCTAGCTGGACCATATGTAACCTCCAGTCATTCTAATGCAAGGTTCACTGTAATGTCATGGCTATTAGGGAGGGGACTCTCTGACCTGTGGAAGCCACATCTTTTCTTTCCTTTCCTTCTTATCTTTTGGTGATGGGGTTATGGGGATTAAATGCAGGGCCTTCACGTTGAGCACTATCCTTAGCACTTTTTATTTTTCATTTTGAGACCAAGTCTTGCTAAGTTGTTTAGGCTGGACTTCAACTTTCTATTCTCCCTGTCCCAGTGTCCCAGAGTGCTGGGGTTTACAGGCATTTGCTACCACATCTGGCCTAGAAACAGCCTCTAGAAGATGATTCCAAAGGAAGTGAGAAAAATATGCCTGAACTTATCACATGTTTTTTTTCTTAAGAAGTCTTTTGTGGTAAGCTATATGAGCCATAAATTTACTATTTTAATAATTTTTACAGTACAATTCAGTCATCTTAAAAACATTTACATTGTTGTGCATTCACATTATTCACTATTTCTGTAACTTGCTAATTTGAGTTTTGATTGTGGCAGTGCTATGAGTTTGGGGTCTTAGAAGGAAAGTATCTTTCTTAGGGGTCAAATCTACTCTTCAGATCCTATAAAATCTAGAATTCTTGTGGCCGAAGTGAATGTCCCAAATAGGGATGGCGTTAAAATTTTGTAGTCTCCAAGCCTAGGCTAGTGACTCAGTGAATTTCTCACATCTCAGTGAATTCATTCACTGAATTCTGTACTAGCTTCATCCCATGCTATGTGCTTTCTCCAAAAAGGCAAGAATCTCTAATTAGCTAATTTGAAAAAGTTGGTTCCCAATGCTGAGCAACACCTGCTCTTTGGGAAGTTATGAAAGACAGGTATGAAGCCCAGATGTTGTTGTTGCTCCCACTCAGTTAGCTTAGATGAACAGGAGAAATGCACCGAGGAGCTATGTGATGTTTTGTAATGAATGCAAACATGTGCCCTGAATAATTTTCTTGTACTTAATCTTAATATATAGCTGGCCATATTTTATCTATATAATAATCATGCAAAATAAGATTTTTCTGGTTATACTGATATAGAAACAAAATTCTCTCTTCCACCCCAGCTTCTCTCCTTTAAATTGCAGTATGTGTAGCTCTTTCAATGGAGACTCATACCCTTCAGATTTGGAAAATTATTCTTGTGTTGATACTTTGATAATTTTCTTCTTTCTATTTTTTTCATTTTCCCTTTCTGAAATCTCATTCTTTTGATGTTATATCAGCTGACCTAGTGCTCTAATTTTCTTATTTTTAATCTTAATTTATTTTATTTTATTTCTTTTCTTATGACACTTCCTCAAATTGTTGTTTGTTTTTTTGTTTTTTTTTTCATTCTGATACTTCTAAATTTTTCTAAGGTATTCTATTCTCCAAATTCTGTCCCATAACTTCTTGTTCTCATATCATAGGTATCTTCTTTTATTTTTCTGAAGAGATTAAACACAGTTTTTGGGGGTAGGAGTTCATCTATTACCTGCTCTCTGCTTCCTTGGCGTTCCTTCTGCTCTGTTTACTTAGTCTTTCTACTTTGGGTGTGAAGGGCAGATTCCTCACCCAGAGGAAATGGGAGCTCGTAGGTAACCCTTCTCTGCGCCTACCCGTGGATAAGCTGCCGTAAGAGGCAGTGGTGCCTAGGACATTCAGAAGACGTTCTGCTGCCCTAATACCAAGCAACAGCCACTTCGGTAAAATGATCCGCACAGACGGGATCCCTTCCTATCTGAATCGCTTTCTCTGCCTCTTTCCTCTTTTCTGTTGCTCCCACTTCCTGGTGTTGTATTTCTTAAGGAAGTGTTAGATTTTGCCTCGAGACTATACATATGTCCTAGAGAACCTATGTAAGACAAATCAGACAGAAGTCTGTCTGTGAGAAAGATTTATTTTCCACATTACAGGTACAGTTTATTTATGCAATAAATGAATTTTAGAAGAATAATAAATCTTTCTCTCATTTTCAGTTCAATTACTTTGTTTACCTCTTCATCAAGCAGGCTGGCCATCTGGCCAGTTGCTGTGTAGGAAGATTAGAGGCCTGAGACTCACTAAGTCAGACTAACTCTAAAGCTTCAGGCTTGGATGAGTCCTCGTGCCTTTAGAAAAAACCCCAGAAAACTCAAAGTTTAGGGCCCCAAATAAACTCCCCTTAGGCCTTGTGCCTTTGGAATAATTTTTGTACTGCATTTGATCTTTTCTCTTTTGAAAATATTTGATCTTTTTTCTTCTGAACTCAAGAAGTAAACACTGACCCACGGCTGCTGTGCATCAACTTCCAGCAGACTGAAGTGTTCATGGTAGGAGACTGAAGTCCCATGGAAACATGCTGTACATCAGTGAATACACCGACCATTTATAACGGATTCCATGACTTTTGTAACTGAACGGAAACAAATGCCATTGTCTATTGTAAAGCTAAAGTGAAACAAAGTATAAATAACCAACTCTTACCAAGTCCCAGCTCCCGGTGGCCCAGTGACAGCAGCTGTGCCTGTTGCAGGGCAGAGTGGGTGGGGGCCTCTTCGTCCAGTCACACAGGCCTCCTGGACAAGACACCCCTCTCTCTTGAACTCCGCCTCCACAGGACCTGGAACACTGATACACAATAAGGCAAAATTGGATGAAATCAGGTGTTGATACACTCAATGATAAAGGCATTATGTTTTACTATTGCTTTGGTCGTGTGTTACTGGGAACGTCAGTGGCGTATTGGAACTTGGCGCAACCTTGCAGGTTCCTTTACAGTGACCACTCTAGCTGCTCAAAGCAATAATGGTGAGGCAAAAATTAAAGGCAGGGCAGGAAGCTGATGAAAGAAACTTTGAGGCTAAAAAGAGAAGAAAAGCGAGAAGATGACAAAGAGTCCAACATCAAATAATTTGTCAAAAGAAAAGAATTTTGGTAGCAAATGCAAAGGAGTGGTCTTTCTGGAATGAACCTTATATTAACTACATTTTGCCTTTAGGAACAAATTTCTAGAAACAAAAATGTAGAATAAATGTTTTTATCATGATTATCTCTGATAGCCTCAAAAGGAAATACATCTGCAAAACAAGTTTTCTTGGTTCTTATTAAAACGTGATTCAGTTTTCCTCTACCACTACATAAAAGTTTTGGAATTAAATGTGTCCATATAAAGGAGAGTGAAATTTATGGATTTGCTCAATATTCTGATGCATAGACCGTAACACTCACAACAGACTTGAGATGGCAAATTGCATTAATAAGAACTACACCTCTGAAATATGCCAGAGATTTCTTCACTGGAATAATTTTATAAAATATGGTTTCATTTTTCCTAATTTCTAGGAGCAAATTAGGTCATCTGCTAAGATTCTTTAAAAATAAATTTTAATACTGTCACAGTTAACTATATTTGAATAAGAAATGCCCAATAAATTGGATCCAGCAAGTTCTGGATGTGGCTGAGGGGCTTGCTAAAGACAGAAGCCCAGCAGGGGGCAGGGAGCACTAGCCAACAGGTTTGTAGTCTGAATAGAATAAGAGGGAAACAAAGAAGGAAGGCTGGCTGCTGTTTTCTTGGAGGAGCTCCTGTCTTCATCTTCACCTTGGGCATTGCCCCTTGGCTTCCGGCGCACACCCTTCAGCCTTCTAGCACAGGCCTGATACGGATACACATGGGACACTGCAGTGAACTCCTAGACTTCAACCTTGCACTGGATCCTTCAGATCTTGGCCAAGGGTTCCTGGGCCTGTATGTCCATAGGCAGGGGCATAAGGACCTCAGACATGGGACTTTCCTACATTCCTTAAACAGGCTAAAATATATTGAATACATGGGAGGAAATACAGGGTGATCCTCAGAGCTGGACGAAGGAAAGCTAATTGCACGTTAAGCTTCCCCTGTCATCCGATCTGTATATCTACCACTAGATCTATTTTGCTAGTGAGTGCTGACTGGTACAAATGCTCAGTCAAGGCACTGGAGGCACTTTGCAAGAAAACATGTTTATGCCATGGTTATAATAATGACAAAAAATTTGTTATTGTCTTGCCAGCAGCATATCAGGCATTATATATATGTTAATATCATAAAAAATTGAAAAAAATAACATGCAATTAGCTTTCCTTCGTCCAGGTCTGAGGATCAACCTGTATTTCCTCCCATGTATTCAATATATTTTAGCCTGTTTAAGGAATGTAGGAAAGTCCCATGTCTGAGGTCCTTATGCCCCTGCCTATGTACATACAGACCCAGGAACCCTTGGCCAAGAAATCTGCAAGAAAAGGAAGTAAAGACAGTATAAGACATCAGTGCTCAAAGTGGGGTCCTCAGACCAGCAAGGTCAGCTTCTGGGTAATAATCAGAAAGGCAAAATTTCAAGTCCCACCTAAAGCCCCCAAAATGGACCCTCTGTAAAGGAACACATCCCTTGTGGGTTGTCCAGTCTCCAATTGCATTTGTGACACACGCTAACATTTCACCACTACTGGTAGACATTAGGAGATATATTATTTAAAAGACAGCCCCATAGCTCAACTGCCTCTGTCTTGTGGGTAGTCTGCACTGGCTGATCAAATGAACTTAGAGTATTTCTAGGGTGGCAGTTCATTCTGTAATGCACACAGGAGAACAGCTCATGTTGGGTCAGGGCTGAATATCTTAAGATGCCAAGTTTCTCAATAGCTGTAGGTACTTAACTGACTTTTACATTTTCTATCTCCTCTGTTCCTTCAAATAAGTCTTCCAACTTTGTGGTTTTTTCAGAACAGAGAAATTTAGAAAGGAGCGTGGTGGAAGGCCTTCAGGGAACAGAGTGATATTGCAGCTGCCAGAGCTACTGAGGAAGTATAAACAACAGATCTTCTTTTCTGACCAGAAATATCTGCTCTTCCATCTCCGATAACCTGCAAGTGCTATTTTTTTTTTTTTTTTTTTCAGGCAAGGTATTCTAAGTTCCTCTGTAAATTCTTGACCTAAAGAAGTCCAGGCAGGGCTCAGCATGTTCAGAAAGCTGGGAGGCTTGGTTTCAAAGCAAGGCAGTGACAGTCACTTCATGCATTCCCAAGTTAGGCAAAGGAAGGTGGACGTAGAGGGGGCAGTGGTGGCTGAAAACACTGGCTAGTGGCCCAGATCCTCTGGTACCAATGTGGTGCTTGGCTCAGGGGGCTGACAGCTAATAGCTTCTGGTGGCCCTGTTTTCTTTAGACTTCAGCACCAGCTCTCTACCTCAGGTTTTATTCTCTCCCTTTCCTTCCCTGGTACATGGTAGGTGCCCCTGAAAGAATTATCAACTTACTCTTTCTTCTCAGTTTGTTCCTTTTTCAGTGCCCGCTGGGCTAAGTTCTATAGCAGAAAGGTCACAGGCAATGGATTATACCTGATGTTTAAATTAATTCTTTATTTACTTTCCAGTTGTGTAACTTCACTTAGGTTTGTCCACTTCTTTTCATTTTCATTTCTTTATGTATAAAATGGAGTTGGTCAAGCCTACCATCTAGGTCATTGGGTGAATTAAATCAAGTAGTATAGGTAAAGAACCCATTCCATAGACATAGTCAAAATACACTAGGTTTCATTTTCTCACCTTTCTACCATTCTTGGACATTATCAGGTGCATTTTTTAGCTACTGATACATTTGTCTGTGGCAAAATGAAATCCTCATACTTCACAAAAAATAATAATCTTGTTTTCATATGGTAAAGTAAATGAAAGACCCAGCAAAGCCAGGTCTCCCTCATGTGCTTTCACAAAGAGCAAACACACACACACACACACACACACACACACACACACACACACACACACTCCTTTTTATTTTGCAAACAGTGATCTGGACATTTAACTGAGAGATGGAGCTAAAATTATACTATGTGGCAAAGCTCATACCTTTACCCCCAGCCTGACTGCAGAAGTCTCAGGTAAGTATGTGAGGCTCTGTCTTACATGGCTCTCTTCTGAAATTGGCCCTTGTTTGAATCATCCGTTTGTGTTGACTACCCTAGCAGGAACCCTGATTACTCAATATATACTCTAGGAGACAATGTTGTAATAAAGTAATGAATTGTCATAGTTGGAATTACACCAATAATCTCAGGGGAATTCTTTCAATATCTAAAAGTATCTGACTAGCTTAGCTTCCCTCATATAGGGTCCAGTCACCAAACAGAAGCCACTCACTTTCATGACACAGGTGTCGTCTTCATGCAGAAGACAGTGCGTGGCCTTAGGCAGTTCACAACACAGAGGATGCCTTCTTGCTTTTGGAAACCAGAAGAGCATCCTCCTTTTACCATGTTTCCTTATCATCTTGACATGATCCTGAGAATATGGTCCTACCTTCACCTTACTACCTTAACAACCTGTCATGATCTTAAGAAGTAGGTCCTTGCCCTTCTCACACTTTCTTAACCTCTGGTCTGAAGCTGAGGAGTGTGTGCCCACCTGAGGGTAACCCCATGGTCATATAACATCATTAGCTTCATAGTTTTGACCCCGTATTTTCTGGGCTTTGGTGGCTATGATGGTTCCTTGCATGCCCATATGAAGTAAGAAAGGGTCCCTCTTGATGTGAATGTGGAGACTTTCAGTTGTTGGACAGAGCCCCCTTGGATGTACTCCTGACCCCACAACTCCAGAAAGGTCCTAATAAATACCTGTAAACCTAGCACACAGGTCACTCGGAGTCAAACTCACTCTTGAGTTTTTTTCAACTGATGCCTCCTTCTCTGAGGAGTGTACTTTCTTTAATAAATCTTTTGCATCCTGTGTGTCTTGGTCAGTTCTTTGTTTAGGAAACAGAGGGCCTGCATATTGGCAAGACTGAGCCTACCTGTCCAGTAACATTCTTCCCTGACTTCTGGACTCTGAGGTAACACACCGCGGTGCATTGTGTGGCAACGTCTTGTCTCTTTCTGAGTGTCATACCTGGCTCCAGGGCTCCACCTGCCACTCTTCACAGGGCTCAGGGTTGCAGCTCATGCTCAAAGGGGGCGGAAGGCCGGCGAGGAACTGGCAGTGAAATGGCCTCAGGCTTCGGCGATGGTCCCAGCTGTCCACGCACCGAATCTCTCGGACCTTAAAGCCCCCACTGCAGTTTCTGGAGCACTGCATGGACAGCAAAAGTAGAGATGATGCCTAAGTCCTTAGCATCAGGCCTTTGATCCCCCCACCTGCAGGTTCCAGGCTTGCAGTCTGGAAGAGGGGCTGCAGCCAGTTCAAGTGAGTCCTGTCTCCTCCACACCTGTAGGAGAGGGTGTTACACAGCAGCTCTTCCAGTTAAGGCTCCCAGCATCAGCACACACACAGGGCATGTGCGTAGGAGCTAGCATTGCATTGCTTCCTAGTCATGAGTCCTTCGGGAAGTCAGAGAACTGCTCACCTCGACAGAGCAGCCTCCCAGCAATCTCACCCATTTTCCCCTCAGAGTCCTGCTAAAATCAGCTTTTGTCTATGCTTCTGAACACAGACTAGGACACCATATGTCTCTGGAAGGACCTGTATTAAGGACTAACCTAAGTAACTGCTCAGTGGTTTGACTCATAGAGTGAGCAATCGCTGTCCTTGTCCCTGCCACCACTGTTCCTCCTACAGCTGTCATCACCAGCCTGAGAAAAGCCATTAACTCTGCTCTTCCCACACCCAGCCCTTCTGCCATGCTCCCCACAACCTGCTCTGTGTTGGAAATTGCACTACAGCTGGCAAGCTTCGTTCATGCCAGGGCATTGATGGACCTAGGCTGTCAACATACGGGACAGGTTCCCTGTCTTTATAGACTTTTAGAGACATTCTAGCCTCTCCTGTTGGTGTGCACACTCAGAAGGTGGCCTGAGGTGGGTGTGACAGAGACAGATACCTGCTGGGTTGACAGTGTGCTCTGGTGGTCCTGCTGTCCTCAGTGTTTCATCCTGCACCCTTGGTAGTGCCTGCTCCTATTTTTTCTTTAGGCCTCAGCTTAAATGAGATACCTTTTAAAGTGAGAGCTCTTCCTTGCATACCTTATCTAAGAAAGCACTTTGCTTTTATCTCAGCTTCTTCTCTCCATCATAGGAACTTGAAAGGTAGAGCAACTCATGTATGCCTACTCTGCTCAGCACTGTGCCACAGGTACCTAGTGCATAGTCAGGCACAGGACAGATATCCAATATGAACTTAATGGATTAAAAAAATGGTTATAGCGCAGTAATTATATGTATAGGGTTGTGGGTGAGGAAAGAAAATTCCTTAAGACCTCTCAGTGGAAGTAGATCCCCAAATATTGAACCCCCTTCCTCCACTGACTAGGAGATTACAGCAAGTCACTGAATTTTAAATCTTACTCTGTCACATGGGAAGACATGAGACCTGTGACAAATGGGTAGATGAATGTTGTAATCCCTCCATAAATCAATTGTGGTTAACTTCTCAAATGCAATCAACACTTATCAAACACTTCCCCCAACATTACCAGTTAAAATGTCATTTTCTGGCTATGTGGCAAACACATATAAGAAGAATTAGCTGTCAAATTGAAATTAGCTATTGAACAAAATTTAAAACATGTTACTATCAGCCACACAGAGCATCCATTCAGTGAACGAAACAGATTTTAGACATTAGTACATGGTTAAAACAAAAGGGTTCTTCATTAGGAAAAGGGAATTTTATAAGCTGTTGGGTAAAATGGGGTTTTATTTTTCATTTGTTACTCCAATCTGTTATTATTAGTTTTAATTTTCTAATTAGTATTTATGTCAGCGGCATGTTCACACCCACTGGGAAATTAAATTTGCTAATGTGTTGAAGTAAGTCACAAGGGAAGACACTAACTAAATTAAAGTCTTTTTATTCCATTGTCAAGAGCACCTTGGATGCAATCAGTAAGAAGGAAGCGGCAGCGCACCGACTCACTGCGCTCTTTTTCTGTGTGTGGGGTGGTTGGTGCTTGAGACAGGCTTTCTGCTTCGCAGACTGGTCTCACATTCACAGCAATCCTCCTGCCTCAGCTTCCTAAATGTTGAGATTACAGCCTTGCACTACCACACCCAGTTTGAGTCACTCTGTTGTAGGCAGCTGAATTAGATAGAAACATTATAGACAGTCAAACAAGGCCAGGCCCTCAAGGAGACAAGATGGCAGACAAGGTGACTTTGCAACTTGGAAGAGACAGACACTCGCATATGGGCCAGACTTCAAGAGAGAAGAAGAAACACAGCTACATACTTCCCTAGGGATAGGCATCAGGGATTGATATTTTAAATAGCTATCAATCACCTTGAAAGAGCCAAATGAGTCACTAGCCGAACCCCTGACAGGAAGAGACCCTGTCCCGTATTCATACCCGCTTGCTACATGACTCGCTTCCCGACTTGGTACTGGATTTAATCAAGTTTACCTGAGCATTAGTGCTTGTAATCTCATTGGTTGACCATAGTTTTGTCCCACCTCATGCCCACCTAAGCAAGTTCTCATGTCTTCTCCACCACCTTAGACCCACCTCACTGCATGGTTTTCCTCTATAAAAGTCCCTGGAACAGACAACTTCCGGGCTACCACCTGCTCAGGGCCGCCCTCTTGTCCCTCTCTTGGACAGGAGCTTTCTTTCCCTCAATAAATGTATTCTGCTCATGACCTCTGTTTGTTCCTAAAATTCATTCTTTGGTTTTAGAGAACACGAACTCGTCCCAGGTACCTTTTAGGTTCAGAGATCAGTTTTTCTCCCTGTGTCATTTGGAGGTTCCCTGTATCAACTCCACTCTTAAATTGTTTTCTTTTTGCATGCTGAATGTCAATTGTGACATTCACTTTCTTACCAGCCCAAAAGGTCACTTGTATTCTTGAATGCTTTTAACCAAGATCCTGTGGGCCAGACTCAGGACAGGAGCCACCCCAATGGACTGGAAAGGACGTCTCACACCATATGGAAGCCAAATGAGCCTGATGCTTTCTAGTTGTCACATCAGTTTAATTAACATGATTTGCAAACCAGACTGCAACAGAATACAAAACACCCTCAGCTTACAGTTTGCAGAAGAAACACATAAAATGTTACTCAGGAAGTGCGTGGAGCTGGGATGGTGAATAGTTTTGGTGTCAGAATTCAACTTAGGGATTTGCAAGCGCATCCTTATCACTTATTCCTTGATTATCCTCTCAAAAAAATCACTCTTACTCCTACACAAATTCTATTGTTTTGAAATTGACATGTCATGCAACTGAAACACATATCTATTGTGTACTGTTTCCTTCTTTCTGAAAAGCTATAATTAAAGGGATGACATATTCCCTGTTGGTGTCTTCTTAGGGTTGAGACTGCGCAGTACAGGGTTCAAAACCTGGTGGGAGTGAGTGGTGTGAACACTCCAGGCCTTGTTTCCTCAGTTGTAATGCTGAAGTTCTGTGCCAGAGTAATAATGAAATTGTTTATCTATAGCATCAGAGCAACACTAAGCAAGTAGTGGCACATGGTGGGTGCTGGCTGCAGGCCAAGTCCTTTAAAGGTCACAGACACGTAGCACCTGTCTGCTGAGTCCAAGAAAGTAAACACATTTCTCCTGCTAGTATGCCTCTGAGAGCGCTTACTTCGCTATTGCCTGTCCTCCAGCCTCCTACCCGAAGTTCAGAACTCCAGAGCTTAATAAATGACTAATAGCCGGATCTAACCTACATGTGGAGCTCAAAGCTGTTTAGAACAGTCTTTTCACACTGTCCTAGTTCACATCTGGAAGGTCCCCTAAGGGTATATGTGTTACAAAACTTCATGCTTTGGGAGTTGGAGAAATCATGAGGAGGCGCAGTCTAGTGGAAGTTTATGGGTATGTGCTTTTGAAAAGGTTGGTGGGACCCTGATCTCTTCCTCTGTTTTTTGGTCAGTCATGAGGTGAGCAGCTCCTTGCTTTGATGCTTTTCCACAGGCCTCAAATCAGTGGGGCAGATTGATCATGAACAGAACCTTTTAAAACTGAGTCAGAACAAACTCTTTTCTCTTTAAGTAGATCATCTCCAATATTTACTGTACTGATGGAAGATAGTTAACACACTTTTGAACCTTACAACAATTCTACAGGTGACTAGAGGCAATGTTATCAACTTCATTTCAGAAGCAAATGAAATCTCCTAAGAAGTTAGATGAATGGACCAGCTGTACAGGGTAATCAGTGACAGTGGCCATCCAAACTTGTTGGATTCTAAGTTTACCAATGCATCTTGAGTTTCACTGGTGGGACTGCACTCTCCCAAGTCTACTTCCAAGAGTATACTTGAGTGGGCCAAATAGCTCAGAGGATTAAAGCACCTGCAAGGAGGCGCAGGGACTGGGGGTTCGATCCCTGGGCCTGCTGTGCTGGCCCTGCCCCCAGGTGTGGTGGCATGCGCCTGTAATCCCATCTCTTGGGAGGTTGTAAACAGGCAGGACACTACAAGTCCAATCTAGTAGTGAGACCCTGAGTACCCTGTAGACTCTTCCTTAAAATACACACACACACACACACACACACACACAAATTTTTTTTCAAGTGCACACGAGAACTCCAACTTTAACTTTCTTTCAGACAGGTTAACACAATAAGAAACAACCATTCTGAAATGCTGCTTCTAGATGTTGCAGAAATCTGGATGGGCAGTCTCATTTTCCTGTCATATTCATGAGAAGATGTTCACAGCAATTTTATTAAGATTCATCAAGGAGAAGACTGGCTTTAGGGCCATGCTAGTCAAACAACTGCAGTGTAGGCAGTAATTGCCAGTGGTAGGTGCTCCTAATCACCAGCCCGATGCCTCAGGTATTATCCACTTGTGGGTGCCACATAGCCTGGGATCCCAGGAGAATTAGTGTCTTTGGATCTGGGTAGAGATTAATGTAATAGTGGTCCCTCACTTATTGCGGAGATTATTTTCCAGATGCCACTATGATAAGTGAAAGTCAGCAAAGTAGTGATATTATATTTATTTTAGTATGTATTTATATTTTAAGCCTTTATATGCCCTTCCCATACTCTTATAAACCTTTCCCCACACTTTTAAAAACACTTCTAATGTTCTTAACCATTTTCTAAACTTGTAAGCCTATGTCATTTTAACAACATACGTACACTGTACGGTACTGCAAAGTCTGTGATATAGTGAAAAGCCACAATAAATAATTTAGATTAATATTTTTTGAAAACCTGTGAAACAGTAAGGCCACAAAAATCAAACTGCAAAATAGCGAGGAACTAGAGCAACACAAAAAAGCAAAGTAAAATTAAATTTTTTATTTCTGAGAAAATATCTGTGACAGGGCAAACTGTCACCATAATTTAAATGCTACATATTTTTGAAGGTGAATGTAGGAATCTGCTTTTCTACTCTAGACTTTGGAGATTTCTCTCCACATGAACTTGAAGAAGGCTAACAAAATTAGTGAAGTTACTGGCTGCAATGATTCATGCCTCTAATACCAGCTACTTGGGAAGCTGAAGCAGGACAAAGGTCAGTTGGGCAAATTAGTGAACTGCCTAAAAAAAAAATAAAAATAAAAACTCTGGGAATGTAGCTAAGTGGTAGAGCACTTGCTGACATGCACAAGTGTTCAATCCCAGGAATATGTTTAAAAAAAGGAGCTTCACTTAATTATCAATATTAACATTCTTAGGGAAGTTATAGCAGTATAATAAAGTTAAAAATAGAACAGCTATCAGTAGTTAAATAATGTATTTGACATAAAGTTTAGCTATTTATTACACTGATAGAAGAACCATTTTCTTTACAGATAGGAATGAGTTGTTTTGAGGTTAGATCTTAGATGTGGTGGGAAGTGATTACACTGGCAGAATTTAATGATGTGGCAGAGACAGTATCTACAAAACCACTTGCAGTGCTGTAGTGGGTCTTTGCAATTCTCCAAGGAGG